CCCCGAGCTCGACACGCCTGCTGACTTGGCTCCAAGTTGTTTTTCTGACCTTTAGTTCCCTGTTCTGGGGCCAGGTGGCCGACCGCAGATACCCTGTTTGTTCCTATGCCCATGTCCTCTAACTGAACTTTCCCCGTACTTTTCAGGCCTTGCTCAAAATGGCGTTAGGCTAAGCAAGTATGCTGGGGTCTTTCACTTGAACGTGGGTTTTCAGAAAAGAGCTGGGTAATTTTCCATGGGATTCTCCGTCAAGCAGATCAAATTCTAGTTAAACCTGAAATGGCCTCAGCAGGATCAGAAGATGGAGGAACCTCTGCACTCTCTTGCCCTGTCACACAATTACACATGAACAGGCTCTCAGAAGCCGCTTGGGCTGAAACGTATCATCTCTTTACCTGTGCCCACGGGCAACTAAAACTAGGATGAGAGTCTTCTGCCATCTCCTTCTTCATGTGAACAGCTGTCTTCTTTCCTTTCTCTTTCCTCTTGAGTCACGCTAGGTTCCTAGTACAGCAGAGCATTACAGAACTGACCAGCCTTCCTCCAGGGACAGCAGTGATCTATGAGTGCTGCAGCATCCTGGGGCAGAAGTAATTACCTCCTGAGAACTACTTTGGCCCCCCAAGACCAAGATGGGGGAAATCACACCTCAAGCAAGAATGTTTAATTATGCATACTTTTTACTCCCTGTCCCAATTCTCACTCTTTTTAAAATCTAAAGCTCAAGGAAGTACCATGAAAATAGACTTGGGGTCACTTGACTCCTTCATCCATTCCTCTTGCAAATGTGGACACATTGAATAAATTATCCAAAGCTAGCCTACTGAGACTGCTGGAGCCTCCAAATCTCCAGACTACTTATTGAAATAAAAGAATTAGAAGTGAAAACAGTTATCAAATATATGCAACAAAATATAGTGAATTCGATCGCTTGTCCTAGTTTCTTTTCCTGTTGCTATGATAAAATACTCTGAGATCTGCAACTTCAGAGAGAAATGGTTTATATGTTTTTCAAAATTCAAGGGTCAAGTCTATTATAGTAGGAAAATTGAGACATCAGGATATGGAAGCTGGCCATATCACTTATATAATCAAGAACCAAGAGTGATGAATGCAGGCTGCTCTATTTTTATAGCTTAAGATCACTGCCAGGGAATGGTGCCACTCACTGTAGACAGGTCTAACTACTTAAATCAACATAATCAAAACAACCCCTCCAACCTACCTTGCATCTTATCTGCTAGAAGCTGCTTTACCGAAAATATATTGGCTCGTCTATTCAAAGCCTCTTGACATCTGTCTCTCTTCTTTACTTTCTCTTTCGTCTTGAGTCACCTTGGTTTCCCAGTATAGCTGAGCCTTTGTTTGTGGGACACTTGTAGATCTCATCAAGTTCACAAGATTCACCATCACAATTCACCCCTTGTCAAGTCAACACCCAAAAACATCATTGCAAACCCTAACTATGTACACATGCTCTCAAAGGCTCCTGATCTTGTTATAATGAAGAATCCATTCAGTTCAAGTTTAAATGTAGACGAAATTCTAAACAGTCTTATTAAATAAGAAACACAGAGCCAAATACAGACTTAAAAGCCCAAGAGATCAGAGCACTATCGAAGAGCCAAGACTACCTTTAGCTTACTAGTCACTACTGTCCCTTCCCTGAGAGAGAGACCTTCCTATGTGGAGTTTTATTGCTTTCCTGTTCTGCCTTCTCATTGGCTCTAAGCCCAGTCACATGACTTCCTCATCACTGCCTCTCTATACAGACCTCCTGGTCTCTATGGTTGGTACTGGGATTAAAGACTCAAGGGTTACTATGCTTGGCTGTGTCCTTGACCACACAGAGACTCTGCCTGCCATGTGATCTGTTTAAGGGCATGGGCGATCACCACCTGACTTCTTCTATTCCTGGCTCACTAATGACCTCTGATCTCCAGGCAAACTTTATTAACATACAAATAAAATCACATTTCAGCAAATTAAAATATCACATTTGAAATTTTCCATAGTTTAATAATTCGTATACTTTAAAGTCCAAAGGCCTTTAACTGTTAGGTTGATAAGACAAAAATAAAATTACGTATTTCCAAAGGACTCCATGTCTTTCTACAGATATATCATACATTCTTGTTCATTGTTGTTCTATTTCAATAGTTAAAAAATAGAACCAGCCTGTATTTCCATCAAACAATGTATGGGTAATGAAAATGTGGTGCATATATACTCTGTATTTTATTCAGTTGTGAGGGAAAATGAAATTAAGAAATTTTCAAATAAATGGATAAAACTGGAAAATATTCTAACAAGTGAGAAAAATCAGACCAAGAAATAAAAACATTATGTCTTCAAGTTTTTATATTTGTGTATTTAATTTGGAGTGACTGTAGAAGTCAGGAAGTTAGAAAGAGCTCATAAGAGGGAGAGTGAAAGACTTATTAAAGGATGAGGGGACAGTAAAACATGTGATATGACAATGGAGGGGAGAAATATCGATGATTAAAGGTTTAAGTGGGAATCAGGGCAGAGGGTAAAGGTGGGTTCAACAAAACTCTGGATGGAAACCCATGACTTTGTAGACTAATTGAAACATAATTTATAAAATATGTTTAAATCAAATACCCTGCATAGGTGGTCAATGTTTCCCTCAGAAGACATGAGTCATTAATGGAAAGCTTAGTGCCAGGCATAGGGTACACTCCGTACAAGTCATTCATCAGAGTGGCCCCAGAAGTTTCCAAAACAACACAAGCTATTGCCATTACTTTTGGTTATCCCCCAGATCTAGCTGGTATGAGTCTACTGTTGAAGATACAACATGCTTTGTTTGTGGGACGCAGAGAAATCAAGCTGGTCCTGGCCTGATAACATCTTCCCTACTGGCTAGCTTTCATATTTCCTGAAGTTGCTTTACAGGTCACTGTGGGAGAAAAAGTCTGCAATGACCTTACTCAGCACTGGACCCTATATACTACAATACTCACCTTCCCAGAGATGTATCAACTGGTCTAATAATGAATGAAGGGTATCTGGATAATCAGTTGCTTTTGGATTGGACTTAAGGCCTGATCCACAGGAAGAATTAATCCTTGCTACTATAAACCTGGTCAGTAGCCTATGGCTTGGGAGGGGTAGTTCCTAGGGAGAAACCTGCTACTTTTGTTTTGCTATATGGACACATTATTAAACTGTGTTCTAAATATTTGTGTTTGTGCCCATAGGTTCCTGCTGCTCTTAATCTTGCTCATAGAAAGTTCCTTTCCTCAGTGGGCAGCAGTTAATGGAAAAACTTATTACTCATCAAAATTTTAAAATGAGTGATGGCTGGGTGCCCAGCCCTAAATGGGACACCTATATTAAGACCCCTGCCTAAGGCTTAGAGAACATCTCAGAAGAGTCAGAAAGAATGCAAAAGCAGGTAAGTGGAGAGGATTTTGTTTTGTCCTTCAGTTGTTGATATCTAATAGGGCTGGTATACTTTCTAACTGGAGTTCCCTTTGAGAGTCCAAATTAAGTGTGTTTGTTGTTGTTCTCATCCAATAGATGCCGACCCACACCCTGTGAAGCATCCTTATCCCAGCTGGTGGCCATGTGCCTTCCACTGAAGGAAGAAAATCAATTCTTATCCTGTCAATACACAGCAGGGAGAGGTCTGTGGGGCTCTTTTCTTAGGAAAATCAGCCAGAGTGTGGAGAGCTTTTCCTGTCACCATTTAGGAATGTGAAGCCTGACTGCTCTGAACACGTAACTTTAGCAGAACACAAATAATGTTTGGAGTTGGGATGTCATTTCACCAAAAATGCAACAGACTTTATTTTCATCTCTGGGTCTCTCATTCAGGTACAGCTAACAAAAACCGCCTTTATTCTTCCCATTGCCTCCTGTGCTTTCAGTCTGTCCTGAGACTGGCTTGGAAACTGTGTGAGTAAATCTGATCTCTGTGAACAGTCAACAGTCACTGCATGTTCTCAACAGAGGTTTTAGGTAGGTGGAGAATGTGCCTCAGCAATTAGGATTCCCTCATAAGATAGATGAAAATTCACATGCCTCATCATCATAACTCAGACTTATCATGCACTTCCTCCATGCTATGTTACCAGTATTTCAGTGTTTGCCTCAGTTTCTTCTACAAGTGGAGAGAACTGGCCAATGGCATGAACACAGCAGACTTTTGACACAGTACACTCTTATTGTTTTCTCTCTGAATATCTGTAACACATGCCTATAGAGAGTTTCAGGAAGTATTTGATAAATAACATGATCAATTAATCAGTTAAGCATACTATGAATCTTAGACATAAAGAAAAGAAAATTAATGAGTCAAAAAGTTTCCACATATTTGGTTGATAGACCCTAAGACACTCAAACAAGCTATATATTTCTAGTGTCAACAAATGATATTTGAGACAATATATTTTCTATACTGAATGTCATTCATGATTTTGTATTCATTTATTTAAAATGGCTCCAAATTATAAAACATTGTTAATCGTTTAGCTTTGGACATACCCAGTCTGATACCATCTCTTAAGGAGCTAATATGTCTTGAATTTGTTAATTCATTTCTTTAATAAATTTAGTGCTTCCATTTTATCAGGATATAAAAGTCCCTTCACACCTTTTTGTAATGAACTTTAATATCATTTCTTTTTCTTTAATTTTTTATGATTGAACATTAAAGAAAGAAGTTTGTGATGAACTAAAAGCATATACAGAAGAGAATCAGAGGTGTCCCCCTTGGCAGGCCAGAACAGATAGATTCCCATTACCACACATCTCCCAGGTAGTAGAGCTGGAGGAGATGCAGGATCTCCTCCAGCCCATGGAGCTTTGTTTTTGTAACTGGAATCTCTTTGCTAAACTAAATCTAAACTTAAATAGATCTAAATCAGATAGAATTTAAATTTATTGTTGCATTTGAAAGCCACGTCTGACATGACTGATCTATGCAACAATTTAACACAGAAAATGTGACCTAATATAAATGGGCAAAGATAATTTGCCACTCACATTGCACCTTTATTCCAGACCCACAGCCATTTTATAAAAATCTAAGAAAATTAAAATGTCACCGCTATACCCCCAAACAGGACAAGCATCTCCACGGTATAGAAATCTAAAAGATTACAATGGTGTCAGAGACAGAGCTGGTTCCATTTCAAGTGACAAGAGGGACAGAGGCAAGCTGTGGTGGAAGTGGGGTTATTGCCTGAGCTATAGCAGATAACATTCGGAGTTCAGTTTTAGGGATACTGGTTTGGATGGTGGACTAATTACTTTTCCATGTCTGTCATCCAAACTTCTGTCCAAATATCTTAAAGGAGGAAGGGTATGTGTTTGACTCACACAAAAGGACCTTCATGGTCACATGGCCCCATGTGCTTGGGCAGAATTTCACTGTGGCAGGGGCTGTAGCTCATCATGTCATGGTAGACAGGAAGCATAGAGAAAAGATACAGCCCCTAAGAACATGCCTTAAGTGACTAACTTCCTTCAGCTCTGCTTCCTTCCCTAAAGTTTCTGTAACAATCCTGTAAGGGGGCTTTTCATACCCAAACAATAACATATGGATGAAGGCAGTTATTTACACTCATAAAAGAAGTCACAATAGACTACACATTTTAAAAAGATGGGAAATGTACCCATAACTAACCTTGAAAAAAATAAATATCTTATTCATTTATCAACTGATTCCATTCTCTGGAATATGTCTGTAGTGCAAATTATTTTTCCTTTGATTTATTGAATTTTTATTCTTTTCAAAATAATTGCTTTAATTTTTAAAAATTATAATACAATTACATAATTTTCCCTTCGCTTTCCTTCCTCCATTTTGTTACATTTTATAGAACAATGTCATTTTATATATTTTCTCTAAACAGATTATAAAAATAAGCCAGACTTAGCTGTACAGTGCAGGATAAATGAATGTTTATAGTTTTGGTGCCTTTGTCTCTTGCAGCAGTGTGAACTTTTGATAAAGCTCTATAAACTCTTAATCACTTCATCTGGAGAAGTTTCTGTCAGTTCTCATGAACAAGTTGTAAAAAATTTTGGTGAAATATTGAGTGAGGTAACCCAGACTCCAAAAGACAAATATTGCATGTTCTGTCTCCTTGGAGGCTCCCCGTCCCAGACCTTCAAGTGTGAGAACATAGCCTGTAGTAGCTTCAGAAGCCAAAAAGGATAAAAAGAGACCAACTGCTGAAGTAGGAAGGTAGGGGAGCAATGGAGGAGAGAATAAAAAAGTTATGTGATCTGGTCAGGGAAATGGGAAAGGGAAAGAGAGGGAGACAAATACAGAAAAAGGAAAGAGGAAGGAAAAATAACAGTAAGGATGTCTTAAAAAGTCATAAGGAATCACACTATTAACTACTTACCTAAAAATATAATAATATAAGTTTTTGTATAAATATACAGTTTAAATGAAATGTTCCCCACTTGGCTGAAAATGCTCTCTAAAGTAGCCAAATACCATCTAAGGAAAACCTAACACTAGGCATGAGAAGCCTTCTTTTGAGTTGTTGCTCAGGTTGTCCAAAAGATTCCTAAAACATTACAGGCTATTAAGTCCCTATTGCTAAAGACACCATACATTTCAGACACAGGGTCCTGAGGACACTGAGCAGAAAGAGATGTGAATGCCTCCTCCTCTAGGACTAGCTTTGCTGGCACCAGAAGACACTGTTCAAGCTTCCAGAATTGGGAAGCAATGAACAGTCCTATTTACCTACGACACCTGTGAACCACAAAAATAACCAGCGTTGGCACAATAACCCCAAGGATGCAGTAGAGGCACACATACGTTGTCAGTTACCAAACAACTCTCTAATTGGACTTAAGACAAACTCAGCAAGAAGGAAACCATACCTAGTAATAGAAACCTAATCAACTACCCAAGGCTTGTAAAGTCACAGATCTTAGAGGAGAACCTACAACTGCCACTTTACTAAACTAGTGTAATCCCTATGTTCTAAAAAATTGTGCTTATGCTCACAGGTAAGTGTTGTCAAGGTGACCATTACAGAAAACCACAACCAATCAAACTGCAGAGTTGTGGATGTTGGTGCCAATGGGTACATCTGCAAAACAACTCTTATACCTAAGGCTCAGGGAACACAGGGGAACAAGGGGAAGAAAGATAGTAAAAGCCAAAGGAACAACGAGTTCACTATGAGATTGTGCCTCCTATTAAGGTCAGAAGCTACACTCATAAACCTCATGACTGCATAAACATGAGCTGAACAAGGACAACAAAATAGACATGCCGAAGTAGACAGGAGAAAGCTCACAAGGCTTCAATACCACACAAAAAAATTACAGGCAACTAAAGAACACTGAGAGTGAGAGATATAGTCTTCCTCAGGGAAGAGCACACCAATTACCCAATGTCAAGTGGTCAGCCCTGAAAACATACATAGAAGTAACATACAGATGGAGCAGGTTTATTTAGGAATACATGGAATATGTATTAGTTGTTATCAAATGTCTATATATGCATGTGATAACAATTAATGAAAAAAGGAGGCCAAGAATTTGTGAGAGCAAGAAGGGGTATTTTGAGAGGGTTTGGACAGAGGAAAGGGAAGCAGAAAATGTTGGAATTATATACCTCAAAATTAAATAAATAAAAATATTAAGAGAAGACAAGAATTTTGGTTTTTAATAATCTGTTAATTAGTGACTAATGCTAAATACTCATGAGCTTCCATTAATAGAAGTTATCACAATGATTCATTTTTCTTTTTATTTATTTTTTAATTGAAAATAGATTCTTCTCTCATACAATACATCCTGATACAGTTTTCCCTCCCTCCACTCCTTCCAGCCCCACTCCCACACTTTCACTCTCCTCAGATCCATTCCCCCTCCACTTCCTCTTCAGAAAAGAGACAACAAGCCAAACAGGACAAAACAAGATACAATAAGACACGGCTAAAGGTCTCATGTCGAGGCTGGATAAGGCAACCCAATAGTAGGAAAATAGTCTCAAGAGTGGTTCAAAGAGTCAGAGAAATTTACGGGCTCCCACTGTTAAGAGTCCCACAAAAACATCAAGCTAACATCCATAACACATATGCAGAGGACCTGGTGCAAAGCCATGTAGTCCCTATGCTTGCAGTTTCAGTTTCTGGAAGCCCGTGGGAGCCCTGCTTAGCGGATTCAATTGGCCATGTTCTCCTAGTGTCCTTCATCCTCTGATTCCTACAACTTTTCCTTCCCTTCTTCCGTTGGATTTCCTGATCTTGGAGGAGAGGGACCCGAAGGAAACCTCTAATTTAGACTCTCTATATAATGTCTGTCTGTGAATCTCTGTACCCGTCCCATCTGCTTCACAATGATGCCTTTCTGACGACTACTGAGGAAGGCCCCAACTGATGAGTATAAAAGAATATCATTAAGAATCATTTCATTGATTTATGTTTTCTTGTCATGTTTGGTCCTACCCTAGGTCTCTGGGCTCTCCTATCTCAGATTACTTGTAGTGTAGTGTACAGATTCCCGCTAATAGAATGAGCCTCAAGTTAAACCAAACATTGGTTGGCACACTCACAAGTTTGGTGCCACCATTGCCCCAGGCAGGTCAAGGGTTTTGTGCTGGATTGGTGTCCAAGTTTTTCTTTCCATAGCCTGCAAAGTACCTTCTTGTGTCTAAAGATCAGAATGTAGAAGTGAAGGCTCCATGCAGGTACCAGCTCAACTGTGATTTTTTTTCATGTAATATTAGTAATAATCTAACTCTTCATGTGGATATGATTTACTTCTCTTGCTTTGTCAAGTATCAATCTAAGAATGTATTTCCTACTTCTATTTGAAACATTCACTTTCTTTGGAATAAGTTCATTCTTCCAGTATAATATAATAATTTTGTTATTATTTACTCTTCAAGGGAAAACTATTTTCCATTCTCATTATATATTCTAATATACATTTCTAACATATATTCTAATATACATTCACAGTTCTAGATCTTGTTATCAATTTTCTCTCCATACTTGAATAATTAAACCTATTAAAAATTATCTACATACTATGTTCAAATGAGGTAAGGTTTCCTTGACTCATTTTTTGGTAAAATATTCTAAATTATCTTTGCAAGTTAAGTTTGAACTGTAGGGTTTTACCAATGTCTTGTATAAGTTTGCAGCCTGCTTGGCTTTGGATTTCTCTGCTGAGACTGAATAGATACATTTATCAGATGTCACTTTATCCATATTGCAAGCTTTAGCAATTTTCTCATTGTCAGACACATTACCCATATGTTTCTGATGTGAGTGCCAAAGAAATGTCACATTGTAAAAAAAAAAAAAAAAAAAAACTCTGGATTTTCTTTTTCTACCTTCTTCCAGCTTTATTGAGGTATAATTAACCACAGTACATACATTCAAAATACACATGGTGTTTGCCATGCATACACATCCCAAAGTGATTAAAAATTTCAAGTCATTTACCATATGTATCATCTTATCTTATAGTTTGTGTGTGCATGTGTGTGTGTGGAGGGTGTGTGTGTGTGTGTGTGTGTGTGTGTTTACTCTTTATTTTTAGAGAGAGAGAGAGAGAGAGAGAGAGAGAGAGAGAGAGAGAGAGAGAGGAGAATGTTTTATGTCTACTCTCTCAGCAAATTTCCAGTATGCAATATGTTTTTAAACTACAGTCACTGTGCTGGATGTGAAATCTCCAGAATCCATCCATTTTGCACATACAAATTTGTGTGTACCTTGACTCTTACCTCCTTCTCCTCTTCCCTGATAACCACAACTCTCTGTTTTACTGCTGTGGCTATCGCTCTGTATAAATAAAATACTGATTGGCCAGTAGCCAGACAGGAAGTATAGGCAGGGCAAGCAGAGAAGAGAATTCTGGGAATAGGAAGGCTGAGTCAGGAGACGCTGCCAGTCATCGCCATGAGTACCAACATGTAAGACACTGGTAAGCCACAAGCCATGTGGCAAGGTATAGATTTATAGAAATGGGTTAATTTAAGATATAAGAACTAGATAGCTAGAAGCCTGCTGTGACCATACAGTTTGTAAACAATATAAGTCTCTGTGTGTTTACTTGTGGGACTCGTGTGTGAGAGAGATTTGTCCTGACCATGGGCCAGGCAGGACTGGAGAAAACTCCAGCTATGGTTTATTTTTTTTAATATTCCACATATAAATGAGACAATGCAGTATGTGCATTCTGTGTCCAGCTTAATTCACATCATAATGTTTTTAAAGTTCATCCATATTGTTGTGAATGCAGGGTTTCCTTCCTTTATGGCTGGTAATGTTCCATTGTATATGTGTTACATTTTAATCTATCTGGAACACAAGCACAGCACATTTCATTTATTCATTTATAAATTGATAGAAACTTAGACTATTGTCTTACCTTAACTCTTTTTTAAAATACTGAAATTAACATGGAGATGCAGGCATCATCAATTTTAATACATCAATTTTAAATTCAGTGGCTATA